CTACTGTCCCATGGGCCTGGGCTAACTCCTCCATACCTGAGGTTTCAAGTTATCACTCTGCCAGTGATTATTCTCTTCTTCCCCCTGGGTTTATTGAGAAATAATTGATATACATCACCATATAAGTTTCAGGCATACAGTACAATGGTTTGATTTACACATATTGTAAAATGATTACCACAACAGGTTCAGCTAATATCCATTTTGTCATATAGATACAATTAAAAGAAAAGAAGAAAAAAATTTTTTTCCTTGTGATGAGAATTCTTGAGATTTACTCTCAAGAACTTTCCCATATATCCTACATCAATGTTAGCTCTAGACATCATGTTGTGCATGGTACGCTTAATACTTATTTATCTTACAACTGGAAATTTATACCTTTTGACCTTCACCAATTCCCCCTTCTCCAATTCTGCCTCTGGCAACCACAAATCTAATCTCTTTTTCTATGAGTTTAGTTTTGTTTTCATTGTAGTTTTTAGATTCCATATATAAGTGAATATATATGTATGCATATAATTTTTTCAATGTGACACTTAAAAGTACAAGCAACAAAATAAAAATAAACAACTGGAACTATATAAAACTATATCTATATATAATATAGGCGTGGTCTAGGTGGAAGATGAGACATAATGGGTATGCATATATATGTATATATATATATATATGTATAGATGAATATATCCCACATATTTGTCTTTCTCCGTTTCACTGATTTCACTTAGAATTTGCCTTCAAGGTCCATCCATGTTGTTGCAAATAATAGGATTACTCCTTTTTATGGCTGAATAATATTCTATTGTACATGCATATATCATAATTTCTTTAACCATTCATCCATTGATGGACACTTAGGTTGTTTCCATGTCTTGGCTATTATAAATAATGCACACAGGAGCAGATATCTTTTCAGTTAGTGTTTTCATTCTCTTTGAATGTCTCTCCAGAAGTGGAATTGCTGGATCACATAGTGGGCCTATTTTTAATTTGGGGGTGATTTTCCATACTGTTTTTCATAGTGGCTGTGCCAATTCACAATCCCACTAACCATGCACAATGATTCCCTTTTCTCCACATCTATGCAGGCATTTGTTCTCTCTTGTCTTTGTGATGATAGCCATTCTAACAGATGTGAGAGAATTTTGTGGTTTAAATTTGCATTTCCCAAATGACTAGTGATGTTGAGCATTTTTCATGTACCTATTGGCCTTTCAGGTATCTTCTTTGGAGAAATGTCTATTGAGGTCCCTTTCCCATTTTTTAATTGGGTTATTTGTTTTGTTTGTTTGTTTGTTTGTTTGCTATTGAGTTATATGACTTCTTCATATATTTTAAATATTAACCCCTTACATGGTTTGGAAATATTTTTTCCCATTGTTTTCACTTTGTTGTTTCTTTTGCTATGCAGAAGCTTTTTATTTTTTTTTTAAAGATTTTATTTATTTATTCATGAGAGACACAGAGAGCGAGACAGAGGCAGAGACACAGGCAGAAGGAGAAGCAGGCTCCATGCAGGGAGCCCAATGTGGGACTTGATCCCGGGACTCCAGGATCATGCCCTGGGCCAAAGGCAGGCGCTAAACCACAGAGCCACCCTGGGATCCCCTATGCAGAAGCTTTTTAGTTTGATGTAGTCCCACTTATTTTTTATTTTGTTGCTTGTACTTTTAAGTGTCACACCCAAAAAAATCATGACTAAGACCCATCCATGCCAAGGAGCTTTATTCCTATGTTTTCTTCTAAGCATTTCACGGTTTTTATGTCTTTCATTTAAGTCTTCAATCCAGTTTGAGTTAATTTTTGTGAGTGGTATGGGCCCAGTTTTATTATTTTACATGTAAATATCCAATTATCACAGCATCTTTTATTGAAAAGCCTGTCTTTTCTCCATTGAATATTCTTGGCTCCCTTGTCAAATACTAGTCGACTATATATGCCTGGGTTTATTCCTGGGCTCTCAATTCTGTTCTACTGGTCGATTTATCCATTTTTATGCCAGTACTATGCTGTTTTGATGACAATAGCTTTATGGTATAGCTTCTGAAAAAAAATGCCACTGCAATCTTGATAAGGATTACATTGACTCTATAAGTGGCTTTTGGTAGTATTGACTTTTTAACAATATTAATTCTCCCAATTTGTGAACATAGGATACCTTTCCATTTATTTGTGTCTTATTCAGTTTCTTTCATCAATGTCTTGTAGTTTTCAGAGTAGAGGTCTTTTGCTTCCTTAAATTTATTTGTAAATATCTTATTATTTTTGATGCTATTATCAATGAGATGAATTTTTTCTCTTTTTCAGAAAATTCATTGTTAGTGTCTGGAAATACTACTGTTAATTTTGTATGCTACGACTTTACTGAATTCATTGATTAAAACTAAAGGGTTCTTTTTTTTTTTTTTCTGAATCTTCGGGATTTTCCATGTATAAAATCATGTCATTTGTAAATAGAGACAATTTTGTTTTTTCCTTTCTACTTTGTTTTTTTTTTTTTTTCCCCCTTTCTACTTTGGATACCTTTAATTTCTTTCCTTGCCTGGTGGCTCTAGTAGGACTTCTAGTACTGTGCTAAATAGGAGTAGTGAGAGTGGACATCCTTGTCCTGTTCCTGATCCTAGAGCAAAAGCTTTCAGTATTTCACCATTGAGTATGATGTTACCTGTGAGCTTGTCCTGTATGCACTGTATTGTGTTGAGATACGTTCTTTCCTATGCTTAATTTTTAAAGAGTTTTTATCATGAATGTATGTTGAATGTTCAATATTTATCTCTTATCTGCCTGAGTCCAGCTCTGTATATCCACCTGTCAATGTGGCATCTCTTTTGGGCAGATCAAAAGCCTTCAAACTACCCGCTCTCACAGTCTTTCCACTTAAGCTTCATCCTCTGCCAAGATGGCCACCTCAGTGAACTAGTACCAATAGCCACCACTGGCTACAAACCAGAAACTTATGAGCTTTTCTTGATGACTCCCCTTCCCTTCACTACCTGCTTAATCTGTCACCAAGTTCTGTGCATTGGATCTCCTAAATGGTCTTCAGATTCTTCTTCTTACTGTTTCCATAACCATCACTCTAGAGCATCACCCTAGACCCTTCTACCATCTGGACCACTCCACTTCTTTGCTGAAGCATGTCAGGACTTCCAGTTGCACTTAGGATAAAGACATCGGTAGTATGACTGCACTAGGTCCTGTCTCTTTCCTATCTTCCCAACTTCATTTCATAGCTCCTTCTTGTCCTTCCAGCAGCACTTGGCTTTCTTCAGTTTCTCCAACTCACCCTGCTCCCTCTCATCACAGGACCCTTACACACCAAGTTATCTTCATCTGAAATACCTTCTGTCTAGTTAAATCTATTCTAACTTTAGAATAGAAGAGGCAGTTCCTCAAGGAAGACTTTCCTAGCCTTATTAATTCTACCCATCAGTTTTTTTTTTTTTAAGATTTATTGATTTATTCATGAGACACAGACTGAGAGAGAGAGGCAGAGACACAGGCAGAGGGAGAAGCAGGCTCCTCGCAGGGAGCCCGATGTGGGACTCGGTCCCGGATCCCAGGATCAGGACCTGAGCTGAAGGCGCCTCTGCTGAGCCACCCAGGTGTCCCAATCAGTTTCATAATACTTTGTAGCCATATCAATTTGCAGTGATCATTTTGCATTTGTTTACCATTATTAATTCCATATTATGTTGATTACATATGTAAGTTCCATTGTATTGCCAGTGCTAGCTAGCACAGTGCCAGGTACAGAATGGGCATGCAATAATTGTTTATTGTAGAAATAAAGGAAGAAAGGAAAAAAGGCTGAGAGAGAGAGAGCAAGGAAGTGGGGAGAGAATGTACAAATGATTGTTCACATTTATATTTCGTTTCAGAATCACTGGAAACAGGCCAGCTCAACAGGACAAGGGAAGATAGTATACCTGGATTCAGTCATTTACTCCACAATATTCATGTGTCCATTATTAAAGTGACGTCATTTTCTGATTATGAACATAATTGTTCCATTTGGAAACCATGGGGAAAAAAATTCCCAAGTATAAAAGAGATCCAATTCCCCTCTCATTCCAGAGTCCAGTGATGAACTACTGTTAAAATAATCTGGCAAATTTCTTTTCAGGTTCTTTCCATGTATGCATAATACATAGGTAGGATACATTGTGAACATTTTCCTGTATTGTTAAGAATTCCTTGAACACCTGGCGTTTAAATTGCTAAGGTACATTCTATTGGATGGATGGATGTAATTTAGACACCCTTTCACCCATTGTGGGATATTTAAAGGGTTGCCAGTTTGTCACTCCTGTAACTAACCAAGACACGCTTTGCGGGAGCTCAGAGGTAAATAAGGTGATGAATCAAATCTAGCACGAGGTGGATTTGGGGAAAACAGGAGGCAGCTCTTTCCAGGTGGCTGGAAAGAACAATCACTTGCTGTAGGTGAGGAGGCCCCGAAAGGGCTGTACTGTCGGTCCAGGTAAGCCCCGCCTTGTGTCTCGGGTGTGTGCTCAGACCAGGGTGCCTGCTCCCCGCGGGCCCGGCCCCAGCCCCAGCCCCAGCCCCAGCCCCAGCCCCAGCCCCGGCGCACCTCGCTCTCGAGGCCTGAGGCGACCAGCCCAGCCCAGGAGGCTTTGGCTCCCACTAGTGGAGCGCCGGGGGCCAGGAGCTGGGAGCTCCGGCACACGCCGCACGTGCCACGAGCAGGGCCCCGCGCCGCCCCGCCCGCCCCGCGCCGCCCCGCCCCGCGCCGCGCCGCCGGCTCCCGGACACGCCCCTCGCGCCTGGTCTCGGCGCTCTCCCCGCAGCTCCGCCTCCAGGCGGCCTCCGCACGGCCTCCCGCTCGCGGAGTAGCCCCGCCCCCGGGCTGCGGGTCCCGCCCGCGCATCCGGGCCCCGGGGCTGCCCCGCCCCGCCCCGCGGGCCGCCTGCGAGGTGCGGGGGCGGGACCGGCGCGATGACGTGGGCGGGCGTGCGCGGTGACGGCCCGCGTTCCTGTTACTCAGCGGAGCGGCCGAGGCCGACGACGGGCCGGGTGCGCGGAGCCGCCCTGGGTAACGGCCGTGGCGACCGCCCCGAAGGCGCCAGTCCCGCGGGCGGGCTTCCCAGTCGCCGTGCGCTGCGTTGGGGGTGAGTGCGGCGGCTGCCGCGGGGCCCGGGCGGCCGGCGGCCCCGCCGTGTGTATGTTATTGTGCCGCCGCCGCCGCCGCCGCCGCCGCCTTCCCCGCAGCCGTGACCCCCTCCCAGGAGTGGGGGCGGGAGCGCGCGACGGCTCGGGGCGCGCGGCGGGCGGGGGCGGGGGCGGGCGCGGGGGCGGGGGCGGCGCGGGAACAATGGCGGGCGGGGAGGCGGGGCGGCGGGGCGGCGGGGCGGCCCGGGGGCGTGCGGCTGTCGGACCCCGGCCCGCGCCCCCGCGCCCCCGCGCCCCCGCGCCCGCCCCCGACAGCCCCCGACAGCCCCCGACAGCCCCGGCGCGCCCCGCTCTCGCGGGTCCCGCGGCCACGTCGGGAGGGAACATGGAGCCGGCGCTGGGTGGCGAGTTCTGAAGCGATTCGGGAAAGGTCCGGGCGGAGGCGCCTGGGCGGCCGCGGCGCCGGCTGCCCCTCCCGGCCACGGGGAGCCGAGGGCGCTCCTGCGGCCGCCGAGTCCCGACGCCTGCCTGGCGCCTGGCGCCTGGCGCCCACGGTGCCCTCTTCGTGCTAAGGCTGCGGGCGGGGGCGCCGCCGGCTCCGGGCTGCGGGGTCAGCGGCCTTTGCTCCGGAGGGTCGCGCGGCGGTGACCTTTCGCCTCTTCGACCCACGCTCTCCTCTCTTTGTCTTGCGCTCGAGTTCCCGACGCTTGGATGATAGCGCCGAGTCCGCTGTAGACTACCGCGACGGACGCTTTTCATTCTGATTTCTGAGAGTTCTCCCGTCAGGCGTTCACGGTGAACTGGACAGCACGTCGGCCACGCGGTGTCAGCGTTCAGTGGTCGCTGTTTGTGCCGCCGAGATTCAGTGGCCTTGTCCCTAGACTTCGGGTCTGTCAGTCCGTTGTGCTTTGAGATGAGCATCCGGCGAGCGTCTTGGCGCCGGGAACATCTGTTTGTTTCGTTCATTCCCTGAGCAGCTGTTCAGTACTGCGCTCAGAGTTTGAAGGCAAAGAGAAGTATTCTTTTGGTGGAGGAGGATGCTCTGAAATAGAATAGATGTCTTTTTAAGTGAGTTATGTAAGTGGTGTGCGTTAAAGGTGTAGTCATACTCTGGGTCATTTTATTTATTTTTTTGTTTTCGTGTGTGTGTGTGTGTTTTTTTTTTTTTTTTTTTTTTTAGTACAGTTAGGAGGTTGATCTAAAGGTACAATGGCTTTCTTTATTTACGAATTTGACTTTTCAGTTTTAACAGCCTTACAGTCTTAAAAGTCCTTTGTAATGTTTATCTCAGATTTCCCTGCTGTGGGTCAAACCTAGGAGATCACGTGCTGTAATGTAAGGGAACCTGTTCAGTGCTGTGCCTGACAAAAGCGAGCAGTCAAAATGGGATTTCCTTGAGGACAGGCCTTTCATGTGTGTCTCCAGCGCTAGCCTGGAATATAGTAAGTGTTCAGTAAGAGCTTGATGAAGAACTCTTCACGATCAATAATATTTAAAATCCAGTCTTTACAGTTCTCTGTAAAGTTTTGGAAGCCCTTTGCAAACTCCCTTTCAGATGGCTAAATGATTCGTTCATTTGTATTATCTGTCACCGCATCAGGGGCTTTTGAATATTTTAGTTTTTTTCCCTAGCACTTTCTAATTCATTATCCTAAAATAAAATCTTGTCTAAAATGCTTTTGTTGTTTTTGTCTTTTTTTTTTTTTTTCTTATATGTGTATCACACACAGACATAGTGATATTACAGTAGGGGTCTGAAATGATTGAATTTGTCCTTTTTTGAATATTGCTTGAAAAGTTTCTGATGACGCCTGTAAGGGGAAAAGCTAGAGTATGGGAAATAAGCTACATGGAAGTTTTATTTGAAATGTTTAATTTCTAATTGCATTTGTAGAAATGTTTGATTTAAAATTCTACCTTGGTGAAGCATTTGGGCCTAACTGAATTTAAAATTTTACTATTGGAGAAGCATACGGGCCTGAAACTCCAAATAATACTGATTTATTCAAGTTACATCGTTTTTCCACTCACAGTTTAATGAATTTTAGCATGTTTTGGATATGAGAGAATTTGAAATGAGCTTATATTATTGCCTGATGCAGAGAACAAATTAAAAGGAAATACTTCATTAAGATAAGGAATGAAAATCATGAGATACCAAACTTTTATTGATTTGCCTAGTTGCAGTATGTCAGATTTCAGAAAGTGTTACTGATACAGTCCTTTGGTAGTAGCTCACTGTAAGGCTACATGTCAATCCAGTTTTTTTGTGTTTTTGAAATTCTTTTGGTTTTTAAAAATAACAATTTTCTTGAGATACAAATGACATACCATAAAATTCACCCGTTTAGAGTGTGCATCAGTATGGGTTTTAAATATATTCAGAGTTCTGCGTTGATTGCTACTATGTAATTCCAGTACATTTTCATCACCCCAAGAAAAACTACATACCAATTAGCAGTTACTCCCCTTTCCACTCTAAATTATGTTTTTTTATTTTTTAAAGATTTTATTTATTTATTCATGAGAGACATAGAGAGGCAGAGACAACAGGCAGAGGGAGGAGAAGCAGGCTCCATGCAGGGAGCCCGATGTGGGTAATTGATCCCCGGACTCCTGGATCAGGCCCTGAGCTGAAGGCAGACGCTCAACTGCTGAGCCAACACAGGCGTCCCCTAAGTTATGTTTAAAAAGAGATATCACCGATTCTTTTGGTGAGTATATTCCATTAATGAATTTGAAATGGGCTGTCTTTAAGTGTCCTGACAGAGTAGGAAACTATATTCTTATTATACTCCTTTAGATCCTGAGAGAACGGCCACTTGGAAAGGAAATTTAAGAATAAATTCTACCCAGATTAATGAGGTTAGAATCTTAACTCAATGCCTAATACTATGGAAATGACCTTCACCAAGTGAAGGTACTTGGTGCTCAGTGAAACAACTTGGAAGTAATTTAAGTGACCAGTCCTTAGCTATTCTAGAGGCAGTCAAGGAAGTTGTGTATTAGAAGTCTGATTCATGTTAGTGTGTTTTGCCTATGAATTGATTTGGACACATTCAGATCATCTAGATAGTTCAGATGTTGTGTTGCACATGTAGAAGTATAAAGTAATGTCTGACATTGAGATGCCAGTTCTCTAGAGGTCTCTGGTCAAGTCAGTGGTATGGGTAGTAGCCGTTCTGATTTATGTAGTGCAAGGAAGTAATTATAGCCACATAGCTCTAGATATGAATCATTTGCTTAGTTCAGGGAGCTGTGATGCTTATTGTCTTAGTCATGAGCTCTTTACACGAACATTTAAAAACATTGGTCTTCTTACTCTAATACAGATTAACTTGAACTTTGATTTCAGAAATGAGTTCTGAGTCAACAGCCTTTCTACTACCTAAAAGGAGACAGGAGTATTGAAGTAAGAGCTGTTCTATCATTCAGGGCGATAGGTGAAACTAGATTTATCCAGGAGTCAGACCTAGGTTAACTTCTCAGTTCTGTCTTCTAGACTTTGCCATCAACAAGTTCTAGAGCTATAGAAAAGTTGCTTAACTTCTTTTTTTTTTTTTTAAAGATTTATTTATTCATGAGAGACAGAGAGAGATCAGGGATGGGAATAAAAGCGTATCTAACAGTGAATTTATGTTCTCTTAAAAGATTTATAAGAGGGCTTCCCCCAAACAAACAAAAGCCCTGCCCCAGATACCTGGATTTCATTGAAATCCATTTTTTTTTAAATTATATGTGAGTATGTATGTGTATAAGATCTTTTAGAAAATGTATTAGCTGCCATTCTTTTTCAGGGTGGTGGGTTATGTCACAAATACAGCTAATAAAGTACAAATGTATGTCTCCTTTTACATTTGGTAGTACATTAGGTTTGGTTAAAATGTGTCTGTTCTTTAGAAAGCTAAGGAGCCCAAATTTAATAGTGGTTGTTAATATGGACTTTAAGGTCAGCTCTGAGTTCAAATTCATGCTCCAAATCTAACTAATTATATGGTTAGTTAGTTCAGGTTATATAACATCTTTGGGCCTGTTTTATTGTCAAGTGAGAATAATAATAGCACATAATCTCATAGGCCTATAAGGTTTAAGTGAGGCATTGCACGGAAAGTGCTTGGCACTAATACAGTACCTGGAATACTAGATATAAGTATTCAGGAAATTTTAGCTATTATTATAGCTTATTATTTTTAACTTGGAACAAATGCAAAATGCCAAGTGAATTGAAAACTAATTTCATGTATACATTTGAATTTGCCAGGAAATGCCAGTTGTTTCCCCCTGCATCTCGGGTTTATTTAAAATCGGATTTTCTCACCTAATCTGAATTGACTGAAATGATTTAACATTTGGACCAGTAATCCTCTCTGATTTAAAATTTGGAAATGTTCCAAAAGCAAGTATTAAAAGAAAATTATTTGCCACATTCTCTGATACAAAGTTATTTTGCCATGTTTTCTTTTCCTACTGCAGAGAATTGCCTAAGCTTTTCTAGGTTGATTTTTGAGAGATTTCTAAAAGAATGGTAATCCAGGAGCTGGGAATAGCTATATCATGTTACCCATGTTCGAAGAAAATGGAATACTGTTGTGTCTTTAATCTTACTGGAATTTTTGACTCCGAAGAGTGCATATTTATGAGAGACTGGATAACCACCAGTTCATTGAGCATTTTCTAGAGGTCTCTAGAAAAACAAGAGAGGTTAGAAGTAGCATCTGGAAATATTTTTCCTGTATTTTTCTAAGTTTTCTGTGTAGTGTTTCTGTGGTTATATTGGCACACCAAATTTCTTGCTCCTCCTTGAGGACAGTAACTATGAAATGACTCTGGTTTTATATAGGCAGTATTCATTGAGAAGCCGTTAAGTTCAGGTATTAAGTGATGTGGGGGGTGAAGGAAGTAGAAATTAGGCTCTTCTTTCCGTGAGTATAACCTGATTGGAAGCAAGGGCAAACCATGCATTTATGTCCTAACGCAAGGAAACAGATATTGTTAGGCA